TTTCATTAATAGCAAATACATTGTTAGACATTCTCAACAAATTATTCTTAGCCTTGTTCTGATTTAAAAGCTGCCTAGTTGCCCATTATTTCATATTTCTATAGTGACAATCGAAGTGACAACCGATGTTAGTTTCATTGCATTCGTCTGGACCGGAAACGCGTATTAGCATAATTAGCGTATAACAATAACTTTGTGTTGTATAATGCGTACAACGCCGTATACAGCGAGTCCCTTTCGTTACATATTTTTGGAAGCCTGTGCAACTTTCTCGCTTCGGCGGGTCGCGCGCGCTAGTACTTGCTAACGCGTCAGCATTAGGGAGGTCTATAAGCCCTGCATGGAGAAATCACGAAGTCCGGGTCATTCTTTACCACGTACCAATACGCTGAATAGTAATTTTTGGGATTGTCTGACTGAGTACAATTAAATGCCGAACTTACTCTTCTCGAGCTTTCCGATAGCTCGCCAACTTGATCTTGCGGACAATTTTTTAGCCATGTGGAAGTGACTATATATACTATATGATACCGCCCTTTCCATTAGCCTCCGAAATTCCCACCCACTGAGTGCTCCTTCGTACCCATGCGTCGACAATTATATCTGCAAATTCTGCTCTAGAAAGATGTGAAATGTCACATTCACTATTGGTGATAAAAATCAAACGTTCTTTACCTTCGGAGTACCCGAATTAGCAGTTGACTCAGCCCTTACCCGCATGCGAAAGTGACCGGATGTTATAATACTATGCTATAAATTAACAGTATGTGTGACATATCTAGCGTAAAACATTTGCGATACCTATCTTTATTGACGGACTATAACCTCTCAAATAACCTACTAGTGCTCTGCCAAAATTTGTAGAAACAAACAACGTATAAAACCTTTGTGATTAAGAATGCAATATGACATAACAAATTATATTCATATTCTGTTAATTATTAACTTTGAGAATTTTAATGAAACTTAATTGTTCTATAATGTCATTAGATGTTCTGTGAACGAAATGGAGCCGAAATACTTCGTTCGCAGAGCATTCCATTCCCTGTACTTTTGAGATGTACAATGATGTTATGGTATATGGGGCCCAGACAATCACTTTCAGAAGTTGTTGGGACACATGTAGTTTTAGCTTGTAAGTGGATAATTATAGTTTTTTACGCACAATACCGCTCCCCTCCCCCTCCCCCCACCCCAATCAATGTTGTTTAAACCAAAACACATCAAAGCCGACGAGAAATGGGACACAACATTGAACAGGGGGCGGGGGGGGATTGTCGTTTGTTGAAATTCAAAGATTTTGTGGCATCTGTCCCAAGACTTTTGAAACTGATTGTAGTAATACCTTAATTCGAACAATACCGCTTTGGCCTGCGTGTCAGGCTGTATGCTTGAAATAGAGCCTGCTACTGAAGTCAATAAAAAGAATGGATTTATGCGTACGAATCGTACGCAAAATTCTCATTGGTCAGAAATAAACAACCTTGCCTTTTAAGGTATATCCAGTTGTTGTTTATGTAATATGATATTCCGCACTTGTAATTGTACTTTTGGCCGTATCAATTAGTGCCTTTGCTGTCTATAAACACGGTCAATATCCGTTATTATTATTTAGTATGTAATTTCTGGCCTTTTAATGAAAATTGGAATATTTATTTTCGAGATATTGGCGGAAAAATTAGCCGTTAATGTCATATCTTAGGTGGCCGGACATTTTGCCGAAAGACATTTTGCCGAACGGACAATTTGCCGACGGCCGTTTTGCCGAACGGACGTTTTGCCGAACGGACATTTTGCCGAACGGACAGTTTGACGAACGGACAGTTTGACGAACGGACAAAATAGAGATATCTTCTGAACTTTAAAGGTTTCGCTTACACGGTCAAAGTTTCTGTGATCAAAAGTCATTGTCGATTTTGATGACAGGAACTTTGATAGTGAAGTATAGTTTCGTTTTATATTCTTTCAAGTTTTTGACAAGTTTACCGAAATTTTGCGATATATAAAAGAATAACGTCATTCAACATCATCATGAATGCGATTTTCCTGAGAACTGTGAATGTATTCCATGATTCTCGAAGTGAAATTCGCTTACGTCGTTGTCTTTATATACGCTTGTTTGTTTACGACCTGACGTCAAAACACGTTCCTAGCAAATGAGTCCTCCGGTGCACAAACAAGCTACCAATAGTCAATATGGTTATTGGTTATGTACTGCTATAACGACTCATTATGCGCTGCTAATGACCATATAATTGTTATTTTACACAATGGTTGAGAATTACACAGTTGAGAAATCAGTCACAGTCCCAAAAAGTTTGACGAAATAACATCTCTATTTTCGGCAAGTTGTCCTTTCGGCAAACTGTCCGTTCGGCAAAATGTCCGTTCGGCAAAATGTCCGTTCGGCAAAACGTCCGTCGGCAAAGTGTCCGTTCGGCAAAATGTCTTTCGCGAAAATGTCTTTCGGCAAAGTGTCTTTCGGCAAAATGTCCGGGTACCATATTTTAAATTAGCTTTGATAATCTAATTAACATTCGCCGTTTGGATTGGTTGTTATTTTCGTACATCCAAATTATTGTCCACTTTTTATTGACTTCAGTAACAGGCTCTATTTCAAGAAAGAGCCTGACACGCAGGCTAGGGGGGCTTTTCCAGTTATATAGTTAAAAACTGCTCTGTAGGAATCTATTAACGTTTAGTACATCACACTTCCAAATTTTGTCAAAATAGTTTCTGAAAGTATTACTAAGTAGAACTTTTACCAATGTTGATGACATCTTCAAATTGCGATGCATCGATCTATGAAGGATCGGATGGATTGCAATTGTTTCCAAATAGAACGTTCGGGTCAAGTTTTTCCTAAAATATTTCGTATCCTGAGTGTCAGGATGGAAATTCCCTTACGATGTTCTATGATGCACTCTTGAAATTGACGTTAAAACGTCCTCATTGTTATCATAAGGTGCTCATGGTAATAAACTTGCCCATTATGTATGCCTTCATCAGTGGTCTTCACACGACCGACACAACGTACCTAACAATCTTGATCCCAGTATGGGAACGAGGTTGCGCATCTGATTCAAACGAAGGTAGCCTGCGTAGCAGGCGGTATGCGCGGGCACGAGAAAACGGGAAGATAAAACGAAGGCTAAGTTATAAGCTAAAATTCGGGAGGTCTATTTGAATGATCACAAGCTAGTGTACAAAGGACACTCTCTTGCAAATGAGTACACCATTAATACGCACTATCAGGTCATTATGTATGTCAGGTTAAAATGTGTCTTATGAATACTACTAACACATTTTTTGCGGTCGGCATAACGTCACACACCTTCATAAGAGTGTAGAAAATCTTTTGAACTACTATGATATAAATCCCCATGACTGGTACAACTTTGAGATACTGAATGAGTGTAATCCACGAATACAGAACCGCAATGGAGCCAGAAGCAATATGAGCCGTAGATAATTCTTCCTCCACAGGGAGAAGAAAGAGGTAAACAAAGATACGCATTGCCATTTCATAGTAATGAGAATCGTTGGTGAAGAAGCACTTTATACCTTCTATTTTGATCTGAAATAAAACATAACCTAGTTATCGTCTTGTTGATGTTCAGCTAACTAAACGTCTTAGTTCATGGAAAAAGTCGCTACGCTTGTGGGACTTAATATATATATTTGTCAAAAAATATTTCAGGGTCTTTCGTGGCTGTTTTGATTTTAATTTCGTTTTCATCAATTTTCTGGTGACGTCCGTGTTGACAAAAACGTTGCTTGCTTAAGCCTGGTTCACACTGGTCGTAATGCATCAGCGATCTATTGTATTCTTTTGCGACAGACAAAGCATTTTACACACCAATGACCCTAGACAATGGCCATGGAAATCCCCGCTTCTTACGACCATTAAATGAAACAATATTCAGCTATCAAAACCAATAAATACGACGAATTTTTGAAGGTACATTCTGAAGTTATGAAATGATGTTACAACAACATATTTGGTTAGCCATTCAGTTGATATGAGTTAGCCAAGCAGAAATCGGTAATTATTAAAAATAATTATTTTCCCTGAGATAGCGGTACATCAGAGAAAATCGACGAAAACCGTCTCAATCGATATCATAAACTAAAATTCATGATCACTCTGTTGGTAGAATAATGTATTGTACTTAGCATACAACAGAGTAATAATGTAGTAATGTGTTACACTGTGTTCAATTAGCCTTTCTCACGATGACAAATATCCGCCATTTTTGGGTGGCATCTATAATTCTCGTTAACCAATGCAGACAATGCAGACAATTAAAACAATGTCAAAAGCAATTTTTCAAAATAAACTAACCATTTACAAAGCAAATTTACCATCATTCGTCAAAAAAATTATAAAAAGTCGCTGTTATGTGGACTTATCTCGCAATCTCGCGGAATGAGAAAGGCTAATTTAATACTATGTTTCAATCAAATTATGTGCATAAATCAAGGTACGTGCATGAAAAAAATCAATATCTTGTTGTTAGTATCAATAATGGTATAATTAACATGGTGTAATTGATTCCTACTAGAGAGGATCCCCCTGTTCCGCCGCCCCTGAGTTGAACGAGTCTATTACCTGGACAATTTCTTTCAATACAGATCCAGATGTAATAATCAGCAGTATTATTCTTAATGCCATCACGTTTGGAGCATTTGTTGGTGTACCCTCGCGTTTATGGATATGTCTGGTAACATTTTTACCATCAGCTTCTGAAAATTTACAGAAAGTATAAAAACTATAATAACAGAGTAATTAACTTTGTAACATGTGTAACCCATGCAGATAGATAATTAGGGCACTGTGCCAAATGTGGCCCATAAGCCTACGTGAACCGAACTTTAGGGACCGGTCATTATTTGTTGCTGCGGGGAGGTGTGTGTGGGGGGGGGGGAGAAGGATTTACCCAAGTGTAAACCTACAATTAAAAGTGACCCCCTCCAAGCACTTGTAGCCTTTTCGTGATCCCTCCGAAGTTGACACTAATAGTTCATGTTCAACGTTTCTTTCCTTTAATTCCAACACCAAACCAACTAGCCGAAAGAGACATAAAGAACTTTACTATTTTGCCTTAATAACATGTACACGAAGCTTCATACACAACCGTGACTATATAATTCATCCGGTACGAGTGTTAATGGTGGAGCTCGGTCTTGTCTAAAAGTACACACGAATTTTTTAAAAAATTCTATGAAACGTTACTTAGATTATTCCCTTCAATAAAATTTTAAGAAAAAAGGATATTGAGCTTGTTTAGCCGATACCGTAAACCTCCGACTATAAGCCCCCCCGAATATAAGCCCCCCCTTGTATAAGCCCACCACATGTACTAACGCTCACATCATTCCAAATATAAGCCCCCCCCTCGAATATAAGCCCACCCAAATATAAGCCCCCCGAATATAAGTCCCCCAATTAAAATAAGCCCAGTAATCGCTGCTTAATACACGTTTTTTCCCTGTTTATGACTGACTTGTTTATGTCTGACTTGATATTACTAACACAAAAGATCGTCCATGTATAAGCCCACCCGTATATAAGCTCCCCCTTGTATAGGTCCATCAAAAATCGCTTACGAAAGTATATAAGCCCAGGGCTTATAGTCGGAGGTTTACGGTATTAAGAAATGTGCAAAGTTTGTGAC